AGCAAAATGTGGGAAAAAGTGCCACAAAATGATCAAAGAGTGAGTTGGGACCCAGGGGTTTAAGCTCTGAATAGTGAATATCATTATCAACCAATGGGGGAAAAAGTATATAAGCTTTCCTGGTTCGTCTCTCTCTGGTGATTCCTTGGGGGTGATTCTATAAACAACAGTCCATAATCTCCTAGTATAAACTGACTTCAAGAAAAAGGGAAAGCAATTATTTGATAGGAACACTCTACCTCTATACACTTGAGAGAAACAGACGAGGATGATTAAGAACCCCCTCATTTATATTCTACCACCTTAACTCCAGACTTTATCTCTTGCCTGAATTTCTGCAATAACTCCAAACTGCTTTCCCTGCCTCTAATCTCTCTTTCTCCAATTTATTATCCATTCTAACCCTAAAATTATCTTTTTAACTGTAGGCTGCAATAATGCCAGCTCTCCAAGAACCTTCACTAGTTCCCTGCAACCTAGAGAATGAAGTCCAAATGTCTCAGCATGGCATTTAACCTGGCCCCAGCCTACCTTTTAAATTCACGTTATCTACGAACCAGCCTAAACAGAATACGCACAGCTTTCCATTTTCCCATCTCCCTGCCTTTATACACAACAGTCTTTTTGTCCCCCTGAGAACTTTCCTTCTCTCCAAACAAAATATAAAAAAAGGAAAAAAAATTCTTATGTTTAAAAATCCTATCTACACTTCAAGGTCCTGCTCCTATACAGGAAGGCTTCCTGCAGCTCCTCAGATCTCTCCTTTGTATGCTCACCATACTCTAGTTGTACTTTATAACACTTGCCACATTCTGCCCTACTTATTATTTATGCTTCTTTCTTTCCCCTGAGTTTTATAAGATCCTTGAAGGCAGGGGCCGTATCTTTTGTTCAGAGACCAGAGAGGCCCATAATGGGAGGGAGGGGTAGATGAAGAGGGGATGAAGAGAGAAAGAAGAAACGAGAGGGCAGTAGAAGCACACGGTCAGGGGAAGAGTTCAATTTTAAAGAAGTTTTCTTAGTCATTTAGAATCTTTTTGCTAAAGACAGACCCTTCAAATAGCTAACACATTTTCTTCTCATAACAATCCTGAGAGACTCAACCGTTCCACAAATTATCTTAAATGTCTTGCAAACATGACATCTCCTTTTCTTCTTGTTTTCTATTGGGTCAATTTTATATGTATATCCACATTGTAAGGGCCACAACACATTTCGGTCATTATATTGGCATTGAAACAGGCTCAAATTCTTCTACAGTCCCCTTTGACATGTGCCTCTTGGTGGGGTTAATCAAATACCTGTCTTGTGCTTCCTAACCAAATACCCAAATTTTAGGAAGATTTTTTTCTTTAAGTCTGGATCTCACTCTGTTGCCCAGGCTGGAGTACAGTGATGTGATCACGGTTAGTTGCAGCCTCGACCTCCCAGGCTCAGGCGACTCTCCCACCTCAGCCTCCCACGTAGCTGAGGCTACAGCTTGCGCCATCGTGCCCAAACTGATTTTTGTGTTTTTGTAGAGAAAGGGTTTCAACACGTTGCCCAGACTGGCCTCAAACTCCTGGACTCAATCAATTCGCCCACCTCAGCCTCTCAAAGTGCTGAGATTACAAGCGTGAACCACCGTGCCCAGCTTTAGGAAGAATTTGATCAACAGAGTTGATATGAAATTTTCGATATGAAACTTTTTGAGATTTACAAAAGCAAGATGCCAGCAATTCTAAATGTGCCCCAAAGCTGGCTCATTTGTCATTCTTTCCTACCACATTCAGCAAGAGGCATTCCTGCCCAAAAGAAATCACAGCAGCCCTTTACAAATACTCACGGCCTCTGCCTTAACTACCAGCCATACCAGCTGTCTTTAGCAAGGGGATGGAAATAGAACTGACTGAGGATAAGCATGCCACTTAATCATTTCCTAAAAGGCAGGTGGGCCATCTCTTTTCCTGGGATAGTAGAAATCATTTCAGTTTTTGCCTCACCCTTCCTAGGGGAAGAACAAGGAATTATACTTTTAAGTCCAGATCAACAAAGAAGGCTCTCTATTATTCTAAGTACCTGGGCCAACATGCCTGTCAAGTGCTCTGCTGCCTCTCCCTAACCCACCTCACTGGCTCAGGTCACTTTTTTACACCGCCACAAATTCTCTCTGCCTCCATTTCTCCCGTAGATGAGACAGCTAGATCAAGGGGGGAAATCATGTGATAGGGACCAAAAATACAAGGCCATGCCATCTGACTACGTAACACAACCAGGATCATAAATCTTACCAAAAAGGAAGCTTGCTCTCTGGTTTCCTATTTACTGTCCTTGAGACAGTAAGTGATGCTGAGTCACGAAAACCTGTAGTACTTTGCTTTCCATTTCCCTACTGCTATTCTGTTTACAGCTTTATTTAGAAATAGCTGACTTCACAGCTTTTGCCATTCAGTAAACTTTCAGTATGAGGGCTTAATATGAAATCCTTAAATTAGCCTAGTAGACATAAAATACTCAAAAATCTAAATTACCTAGACTGGTAGAGGTTAATGTTCTGCATTAAAAAGGAACAAAAAGTATCAATTTTTTACTCTGATTATGCCTGTCAAAGGACAGAGTCAAATAAACACACAAAATATGATACATGAGGGCAACAGGGGTAGGAATACCACCATAGTTACTGAGAAAGGTCTAGGAAATAGGCAAATGTAGGTGTGCCCTAACCTCCTTTCACCTCTGTGTACTGCTGTCTGGGCCTTCAACTCTCCTTTTCCAGCGTAGAACTAAATGAGAAATAACCTTTTAATATCTGATTTTATTTATAATTTTTATAACCGTATAAAAATTGTGAAGGTCAAAAATTTTTTATAACCATATAAAAATTATGAAGGTCAAAAAAAAGCGTGAAGGTCAAAACACAAGGGCTATGCCACTGAGCGGTGTACGGCAGCAACCCAAGCATCTGGGATTACTAGAAAACAATAAGAAAACAGTTAAGAACTCTTGCCTTCCCTATAATGTTTTATCAAACCAGCTCACTCTGAAAAACAGAAAATCCATCATATGCTTGTAGAGCTTAGAACTCACCTACCCTTTCATTCTACAGGTGAGGGAACAGGTCCAGAATAGTGTTATTTGATTAAGGTTACATGGCTAATTAGTCACAGAGACATGACCAGGACACCATTCTAAGACTTTCCATTATGGCAGAATTCTCAACAAAAGAGTGAAATACCAGGCTCCATTACACAGAGCATTTAGATATACCAGAGTTTAAATCAACTCCTCTAAAGAAAAAAAGATGATCAGCTTTATGCTTCGGCCTTTACCAGAAACATATCCCTAAGGGAATCTAATAAATATGTTCTGGGGAGACCTTGGGAGGCAGAGTTTTTTGGAGCTACAGACCTCTTTCTATTTGGATTCCGAACTTGTGGGCAACTAAACTCAATCAAGGCGTACTAGGTATGGAGCTCTAATATATTGTTACCAGTTATACCATGAGTATTATCTATCTATACATTTTATGCTCTTCAGTACATGCACCACATGAAAGCAAAGGTCAATCGTGGTTCACACTGACCTTGAAATAAGTGAGGATGGGAAAAGCGTGAAGGTCAAAACACAATAGGTATCATAGCTGTTTAAAAGACGGGTTTAAATATATTATCAACAGTTCAGTTAATTCATAGAAGTAGAAACTAAAATGGTGGTTACCAGAGGCTGGGGGCCGGGGGAGAATGAGGGAAGGCGAGATGTTGGTCAAAGGGTAAAAGTTTCAATTAGACAGGAAGAATAGGTTCTGGCAATCTATTGCATAGCATGGTGACTGCAGTTAACAATGTATTGTCTTTTTCAAAACAGCTAAAAGAGTGGATTTTAAATACCCTCAGCACAAAGAAATGATAAATATTTGAGGTGATGGATGAGTTAATTAGCCTGATTTGATCATTCTACAATGTATACATATATAGAAACATCACATTGTATACCACAAATATACATAACTATTAGGTCAATTAAAAATAAAACAAAAAAATCGTTGTTATTATAGCAAGTTGAAAAGGTCCATGTATCAAAGAGTATTATTTCATGTCATAGTTAAATTGCTAAAATGATGACATTCTTTTTACTCTTGAGAAGCTTAATTTATCCATCTTTGATACAGAAACATTTTTATATCATATCTTAAGATAAGCAGCATGGCACAATAATGATATTTGCAATCTATCTGGAAAAACCTTTCCATAAAAAGCATGGTGGAATAATGGTCAATGATATTGGTAATTTCATATAAAAATAAAACACAAAATTGAATGAGAGAAAGCAGAGACTCAAACACGTCTGTACATCAATGTTCATAATGGCATTATTCACAACAGGCAAAAGATAGAAACAATACAAATGTCTACTGACACATGAATGGCTAAACAAACTGTGGTAATACACACAATGGAATATTACTCAGCCTTAAAAGGGAGGAAACTCTGATAAATGCTACAGCATGGGTGAACCTTGAAAACATTTTGCTAAGTGAAATAAGCCAGGACAAAAAAGCAAATATTGTATGATTCTGCTTAGATGAAGTACCCAGAATAGCCAAATTCATAGAGACAGAAAATAGAATACTGGTTGCTAGGAGCTGGAGTGTGGAATGGGGAGGAGTTATTGTTTACTGGGTACAGAGTTTCCATTTGAGATGATGAAGTATTCCTGGAGATGGACAGTGGTGATGCCTCATGAAAATGTGAATGTACTTAATGCCACTACCAAAGTATATGTTTTAAAATGGTTGAAATGGTGAATTTTATGTTGTGTATATTTTAGCACAATAAAAAAATCAAATGAGAAACACTCATGGCAACTTCTTTTATGATTTTGATCCCATATTCTACTCCTCTGCTTCAACAAACAAAATATTAAAAACCAACCAGGAAAATCAGTATCATTCACAGAATTACAGCTTAAAATATGTATACATCACAAAAAACAAAAACAAAAACAAAAACAAAACACTTTGGTTCATCACTCCAAAGCCAGTTATCCTGTGTTTATTACTAAAATAATTCACGTCCATTATAATTATGAATGATGTATTTACATTAAGCACAAGCTCCAACCAAACATACAGAGAGAAAGGGAGAGAAACTGAAGCAATGCAATTGTGTCAACAAACTGACATAGCAACCATCTGTTGACATTAATGTCCTTTGAATCCAAGAGACTCAAATCATGTGGTAGGACAGGATCTTCACCTTAGCTGTGAAGTCCTACTTTCATGTCACAGGGCATTTCTGGAAGGAAGTTCTGTAATGGCCAGCTCTAAGTACTTGCAGATTTCCTACTAGTCCTACACAGGAAGTCATTCTTGTGTCTCACCTGCATAAGTTCCTGTTATGAGGCCCGGGGACTAGTGAGTTGAAATCTAGTTCCAGGGAGTGATGTCATCTTGACTGAACTATGATCCTGGTGACCTGTTCCCCAACCTGGTGTTGTTGTAGCCTTTCAGCTGGGGTTTGGGTTATAAGGGGGCCAAAAAGGAAAAAGGGAAGTAGAATAATAGAAAAAACAAAAAGAAAAAGGGAAAATGCTTACACATTTCCTTTGTTTCACTAGAGCATTTTCTGTTCCATTTAATTAGATGGGAGGACCTGGTTGATGGCAGATGGTAGTTGTACAGATGCTCCTGGAGTGGGGGTGGGCTCTCACCCAGATCTCAAAAATACAAAGAAAATTAAAACACTTCAAAAATTTCTATTATTTCTGGTGGTTTCTAACTTGGAAATAGTGACTTCTTCTTTGTCTACAGTTTAAAAAAAAAAACAGACATTAACACTTTTAAAACAATTGTACATTTTTGCAACAATGCATAACTACAGGAGCTACCTTAGCAACAGAAAGAAGTAACGAATACAAATGTTTGGAGATGTGTGAATACTTACATTCTTTCTACATCATGTCAAATAGGTTAGTTCAAATCTGAGAATCTTATCACCATAAGTAACAACTAGGACTGCCATTCAATTCCATTTAGATGAAATCCTTTGCTTCTTAGTATTCCAAGCCAAAAAATAAAACAAAGTCAAGCATAAGAAGCAATGGTAGAAATGGATAATATTTCACAAGGAAAGGAACAGAGGCATTTCTTTAAAAAAAATTGGGGGGGATATTAAAAGAAGAAGAGATCTAATGTTTCACCATGTTTATCTGACATCATGATTTCTTAGTCCTCACACAATTTGGAAAAATAAGAACTTCCTTCCCTTTTTTGTTGCATGTGTGTTAGCAGGAGTAGGAAGAATGGAATATGAAGGAACAAGCAGAGGGTGCAGAAAATGGAAAGATGGTGAAAGAAAGATGCTGTTGAAGACGCAGAGTGAGTTTATATGAACCATTCTCTAAATAAGTAGTATCAACCAAGAGTACAAAGCTGACAACATGGAGTGTCTTCGCACAGAAATAATCCGGGACCACATTCAACATACATTAATTACACAGCATCAGGGTACAGGTTTTCCATCAGAAATTATATGTATATTCTCTTTTTTTCCCTCACTTTTAAGCTGCATTGATAACATTATTCATGAAGTACTTTTAGTGTATTATTAAGCAAATATTTATTTGATCATATAAACCAATCCTGGTCAGCAAAAAGCACTGTTAGCTGCCATGTAAAGGTCCTTCTTTCAAGTAAAACATTATTCTACACTCACAGCTTCCTATCAGAGGAACTTCTTGAAGAACTCTTTCAGTTGGCATTACAACTCATCTGCAACACCGAATGTGGATTAAATTCAGATCACACCTTGGTTGAAGATATGTATATAACCGCCTCTCACAAAATTGGCTAATATCTAGTAATTGTAAACAAATTGTTCTCTTTTAGCCATTTCCCCCCCATTTCCTCTAATGGTCCTTATCCAAATGCTTTGGTGCTCCATAAGTGACTGTGACGCCGAGGTGACTCAGTGCTGGAGATGCCTGTCACGGAGATCAGAATGTGTGAAGATAACCCTGCATTACGTTTATCTCATCAGTTCTGTCCAATCCACAGGGGTAAAAAATGGATGAGATTTTATATCTTCAACACCAGCAACTCCAGCACCAAGTCGTTCCAGAGGATTGAACTGCAAGAGCTAAAAAAGACCGACTTAGTGAGTAACAGGAATCTAACCGGCAAATCAAAAGAAAACCAATATTTGAAAGAAAACAACTTCTAAATTCAACCCTGATAACACATAGTCTTGATTAATAGCCAAGTGACCATGTTTTCTTGAAAAGGAGCTATGTCTAATACCACTCTAGCTGTGGGGTGTGAGAGATACCTGAACTGAGTTTACGGCTTTTCAACTGATGGGAAACATGGCCTTGAGTAACTCACTTTGTTTCCCTCATCCTCATGTAGTATAATAGGATAGTTACACCTATCAATTTCCTATTCCAAAAGTACATCATGACATTAATTAGATATTGCACTAGATTCTGAGAAGCCAGTTACTTCCTTCATGATTAGGAAATTTGGGAAGCACAGTAAGTCTTTAGACCCCTAATGAACTATGTGTGTATTGAGGCTAAACTTTACCTAAAGTGTGAGTAAGCTGATTAGTATTGCAAAATCACTAGTCTTTGGCATAGTTGACACAAATGAAATAATTTAATCTAATGAATGAAACAAGTTTTGGTTTCTTCAGAAATCGGAATCACGTGTAAAATAAGAGAAAATTTTTTGTGGCTTAGTAATGTTACATGTAACAGTTATTAAAAATGTGGGAAAACAGCAGTAGTCATAGACAATTATACAGGAACTCGAGGCATGCTGGAAGAATATGCCTTGTGACATTCAGGCACCCTGAAATTTTTGTGTTAACAGCTTTACTGAGAGATAATTTACATAGCATACAATTCATCCATTATACGTTTACAATTTGATGACTTTTAGTAAATTTAAAGTGTTGTGCAACCATCCAGTTTTAGAACATTTTGATTACCCTAAATAGTTTCCTCATGCCATCTAAAGTTAATCCCCATTCCCATCCCCAGTTCTAGGCAACCACTCACCTGCCTTTTGCCTCTATAAAGTTGCCCTTTCTGAACATTTCATACAAGTCCAATCATAAAATATTCTTTCACTCATCATGTTGTTACTGAGAGTCATCCACATTGTAGCAGGTATCAACAGTCCATTCCTATTTCTTAGTATTCCATTGTTTGGACGTACTATACTTCATTAATCCACTCACTAGTTTTTAGACACTTGGACTTTCTCCAGTTTGGGGCTATAATTAATAATGTTGCTATTAACGTTCATGTATATGTCTTTGTGTAGACATATATTTTCATTTTTCTTGATTATGTTCCTAGAAGTAGAATTGCTAAGTCACATAATGAGTTTATGTTTAACTTTTTACAAAACTGCCTAACTTTTCCAAAGTAGTTGTGCCATTTTACATTTCCACAGACATTTATGTATGAGGGTTTCGGTTTCTCTACATCCTCAGCTCTTGGTACTGTCCGTCATTTTCACAGCCCTTCTCTCAGTATTAGTAGTGTCTTATTAAGGTTTTAATTTACATCCCCTAACAACTAATAATGTTGAGCATCTTTTCATGTGCTCGTTAGCCATTCAAATAGCTTTCTTGGTGAAATATCTAAATTTCTACCCATTTTAAAACTGAATTGTCTATCTTACTGAATTACAAGAGTTCTTTATATAAGTTCTGAATGTAAGTCCTTAATCAGAATCATGATTTGCAAATATTTTCTACCAGTCTGTGGCTTGTCTCCATTTTCCTTCTTTAAAATTTTTATATTTTTATTATTTATTCATAGAGGCGGGGTCTTGCTACACTGACAAGGCTAGTGTCAAACTCCTGCACTCAAGAGATCCTCCTGCTGTGGCCTCCCAAAGTGCTGGGGTTACAGGCATGAGCTTCCCACACCCAGCCTACTGTCTTCATTTTCTTAATGGTGACTTTTGAATGCACAAGTTTTTAATTTTAAGGAAGCCTAGTTTATCAATTTTTCCTTTTGAGGACCATGCTTTTGGTATCACATCTAGTACTTCTTTGCCTGATCCAACATCAAAGATTTTCTCCTGTTTTCTTCTACAAGTTTTACGGCTTTAACTCTTATATACAAGTATATGAACTATTTTGAGTTAAGTTTTGCATGTAGTATGAAGGGTCTAAGTTCATTTTGTTTTTATCATGTGCATATTCAGCTTCCCAGTGCCATTTGTTAGAAAAACACCATGCTCTTACAACTATCGTGGCTTTACAACTAGTGTGGAAATCAGGTAGTATAAATTCTCAAACTTTGTTATCTTGAAAATTGTTTTGGACATTATAGGTCCTTTGCCTTTTTATGCACAGTTTGCAATCGGCTAAAGGTTTCCCAACTTTGCTGATCTTTGCAAAGAACTACCTTCTCTCTCTCTCTCTCTCTCTCTCTCT